ATCTCTGCAGGTGCCACTGTCTCCTGCGCTGCCTAGCTAACACGAGGGTCACACGGACTCGCCACAGGCACAGCGGGCGGGGCTGGCGGGGCGGGCGCCGCAGTCACGCCGCTGCCGGTCGGTGCAGTACTTCGTGCGGATCTTCCCGCTGGTGGAGGAGCACGTGCAGAAGTGCATGGGACAGGAGCTCTACAAGCTCTTCCGCGTGAGTGTTCCCGCCCCGCCCCGTCCCGCCTGCACAGAGAGCAGTGGCCCCAACAGAACGGAGCCTCCTGCACCCCGTCCCTCCCCCGGGGCACCCCTCACGCGAACTGGGCCTGGTGGCCAGCGGCAGGGAAGGACGCGGGCGTGGGCTGCACCTGCCTCTCTCCGCTCCCTTTCCTGTCCTCAGAGCAACGCAGAGGACTTGCACATGAAAATAGACAGCGTTCAGGTGGACATCTTGGCAACCAACAAAGTCAATGTGTCCAGAGGTGCGTGGGGAGCGAGGGGCCCTGGATGGAGCACGGGTGCAGCCAGCACCGGACTCAGGCTCGCCTCCTGCTTCCAGAACTGTACCTGCGCGGCCAGGTCTACAGCAACAGGAGCTGTTACTTCTGCCCTCGGGATCGGCAGCGGCTGCCTGACTTCACTTACTTCCTGGAGGATGTGGACGGAAAGGAGTGACAGGGCCCCTGAGGCAGCCGGGAGGGCCAAGGCGGAGAGGCGGCGGGGGAGCCTGGGTCCCCTCAGGGCGACTCCACTTGGCTCCGGGTGGGGGGCGGGGGAGAGCTGCTGGCTGGGAAGAGTTCAATAAACAGCCTTGCTGTGGATCTGTTCCCTGTGTGTGTGGATGCGGAGGGAGATTCAATGAGAGCAGGGCCCTTGGTGCGCTAATCCCGTTACCTCTGAACTGTCTCCTACTTCTCTTTCCCCCTCACAGGCTCCAGACACACACTCTGTGTGTTTCTTAACGAGCCTTGGGACCTCTGTGCTGGCTTTTCTGGTGAACAGGGAGAGAGGTTCTGTTCTCAGACCCTCTCCGCCCAGATCTCTAGCTGCATGACCAACGCCCTCATCTCTTTTCAACTCACACAAAATCACCTATTCCTTTTTGTTTAATTGATTTGAGAGAAACCCTGATTTGTTGTTCCATTTACTTATGCATTCATTGGTTGATTCTTGTATGTGCCCTGACCTGGGATCAAACCCTCAAGCATGGCATACCGGGACAATGCTCTAACCAACGGAGCTACCCAGCCAGGGCTGAGGGCTACTCTTTCTTAAGTTGCAACCCACACTATACCACTCCCTACACTATGGCCCCCGCCCCTTAGCATGCCATTTATTTTCCATAGTATTTATTTATTCATTCATTCATTCATTCATTCATTATCTCTCCCCCTGAATATAAGCTCCACTAGGACAAGGATAAATAAGATAAACATAGATATAGAGATTAGATATATAGATATAAGTATTTTTTTTTGTTTTGTTTTGTTTTTTGTTTTTTTTTTGTTTTTTGTTTTTTTTAATATATTTTATTGATTTTTTACAGAGAGGAAGGGAGAGGGATAGAGAGTTAGAAACATTGATGAGATGCCGAAACCGGTTTGGCTCAGTGGATAGAGCGTCGGCCTGCGGACTGAAAGGTCCCAGGTTCGATTCCGGTCAAGGGCATGTACCTTGGTTGCGGGCACATCCCCAGTAGGGGGTGTGCAAGAGGCAGCTGATCGATGTTTCTCTCTCATCGATGTTTCTAACTCTCTATCTCTCTCCCTTCCTCTCTGTAAAAAATCAATAATATATATTAAAAAAAACAAAAAACAAAAAAATGACACCTTGCTGAGAGAGAAACACAGATCTCTTGCATTTTGCCCCTCTCCCCTCTTGGTCTTTGTCACACCTTATATTATACATGTCCGAGAGCGGAGAATATTCAGGGAGATTTCTTTCATTGAGTGACTGATCATTCATTGAAATAAACCCGAGAGGACCTATATCCTATGTCAAAAGGGTGAGAAACACCATCGGAGTGTCGCGACAGTTTTCCCCAGATTCTTATGTTTAATCTCAAAATTTGCCAACGCCTTGCCTAAAAGACCAAAC